GCCACCGATGATCCACTGCATGAGTGCACGGGCCTCGTCCCAGGAGCAGCACTTGGAGGAGATGCGACGGCGGGCCGCCTCTAACTTGCCTGATAGGTCCGAGGCCGCCAGGCTGTGCCGATCAAGGACAGTGCCGCGCTTACCCAGGAGTTTATCCTCGGTGTCAGCGGCTGCACGCGGCAGGGTGAAGTTCCGGACGCCACCTTTCCAGATGTCCCAGCTGGAGACGGAGGCGCCATTGTGAGAGAGACGAGGGTCATTGAGCTGGGCAAGAACCGCGTCCCAGTCCGAAGCGAAGGCGGAGAATTTGGACCACGCGTACCCAACGCCAGTGGCCCGACTGCCCAATGCCAGGCTGTTTAGGATGGCAGGTAAGTCACGTAAGCCGCTACCATAATGTTCAATATCATCTACGTAGCCGGCCGCGATAACACGACGGCCACCGCTGGAGTGGTAGGCAGCTCCATCCGATGCACGAATGCNNCCCTGGAGAGTTCCGGAGAGGAGACGGCACCTTGCGGAAGCCCGCGCGTGACCGGCAGGGGGGACGTGAGACCCACCCGGGTGTCTAAACACACACGCGCCGGGGCAAAGAGAGCCTGGTGTAGGCGCCGCACCGCGTCGGGGAAGCCACGACCCTGCTGCATGGCATCAATGAGGGGGAGCTGGAGAGTGTTAAAAAATTTCTCAAAGTCAGCGGGGACGCGAAGGAGCGGGAGCTGGTGGCGGGAGGAATCTTCGCAGACCAGGGTGTCCATGTAGAGAACCTCAGCTGCAGCGGAAACACCCCGAACGTAGGCTCGGTTAAGAGAGCTGAACGGAAAGTCCAACGCCCAGGGGGAGCGGGACGAGCTGAGCCGGTGTACTACAGGTGCTTCGACGGCTTTGAAAGATTCTTCAAGCATGGATAGTGGTCTCCAGCCTCCAGCAGGCTTGGGGAGGTGAACCTGCTCCGCGAGGTTTAGGGAGGGGGCAAGGAAGCCTACCAAGCGCTGCACATCTAAGGCAAGCCAGTAAATCTCTTGAACCCAAGCTGGGAAAGCNNGCCAGGCCGAGAGTTGCGTAGTTTGGCGATGAGGGCCCCGCGTTCTGTAGGGGAGGTGGGACCCACTAGGTCAAACCGCGGTTCTTCCCAACATCGAGTGCAGAGCACCGCCGACGGGGGCGGCCAGCGGAAGAAGTCCGGAGTAAGGAGACGGCCTGGCATGCTGTGGCAATTGAGCACAAAACGAAGGGGGCCCAGGCAAGGGCCGGGGCGTTGCACCCACCACTCCCCGTTGAGAAAAGAGAGCACCCACTCGCCCAGCCGGAGCTGGGTCTCAGTGTGAAAGTCAACCGAGGCGGCAGTGACTTTGATGAGGCGCCACGGCCCGGGCGCAAGTAAAGTGGAACCAACAAGGTCCAGCTGGGAGCCGGGGGCGGCCCGGGCCAACGCCGGGAAGTTGATAGTGCCGCGCCGCGTGGAGGCAGGGCTGCTAAACAAACTGACCGCCTCATGGCTCCAGCTAGTCGTAGGCTCCTGAAGGAGGCGGCCCCATTCTTGCCGGGCTCCCGACAGAACATCCGAGGAGCAAGATGGTCGCCGACGCGATCCATCGGCATCAGTAACCCAAGAAGGTGAGTATCGTATGCTCGGGCCTGTTGACGGGCGCATGCGCGCTGCCCAAGCTTTGACGTCACCAGAGCGGAGAAGGAGCAAGCGCTGCTGACGGAAGGACACGAACTGGCGCTGGGAGGAAGAGGACTGGCGACTGCCGGCCTCTGCAATCCACCTAGTAAGCAGCTGTGCACACATGGCTGGGGAAGCACACGACGGGTCAGGGATGCTGTCCCAGCACACAGGATTTGGGTCGGGTACTGCGGGGGAGCCCAGCGAGGGGGCAGGGGAAAGCAACTGGGGAGCCGTGGACGCAACTGACTCCTGGAAACCAAGACCAAGTGCCCAGCGCACAGGGTCCGAGTGGAAGTTGTCCCATGAGGACAATGTGTTTGGTGTACCTTGGGGCCCTGATTGTAGGGGGTTGCATGAGCGAGGTGCATCCAGCCGCGAGGCTTCTTCCCACAATGCCCAGGGCTCCTGGAGCGGAAACAGGCGCAGATCTAAGTGACAACAGGGCATGGATGCGACGTGGTCCAGCAAGGAGTGCCGAACCTGTCGCAGTGCTGCCAGGCACTTACACCAACTATCAGCTGCCCTGCAAGATTTGCGGTTGGAGTGTCGCGTGGGCTCCGGCAGACAGGCCGACAAGATCTGCATCAGCCTAATGAAGGATTCCCCCAGTGCCTGGTATGTGTCAGGAGCGAGGGCCGGGGAGGGGACGCCTAAAAACCCCTCTAATCCCTCACAGCTTACGGGGGGAAGTTGCATCCATTGTTCCTGGATACGACAGAAAGTGGTTTCTAGTGCGTGTAACTCCGAGGAGTACTCCAGGACGGACGCTTTTGCAAGGTCGGGAAGGTCATTATCAAGCCTAGCTACCAGGGACTTCCAGGGGAGGGAGCGGGGTAGTGCGTTTGGGATGAGAGGCAGGTGTATAGATAGGTCAATCATGACGGGTGCATGGTCGGCACGCCTAGGCCAGTTCCATACAATGGCGGAGTTAAGCACGTCTGCTTCCAAAGAAACTGAAGGAAGTAACCACAAGGCATCCAAACGGCTTGCGGATTGCGCATGCGAGAAAAAGGTGAACGCGCGGAGGCTGGGGTGTCTTAGGCGAAAGGTATCCAGAAGGCCGCAGTTACCCAGATGCATCGCCAAGCACTCCGGGCGGACGATGTAAGAGCCACCCCAGCGGTCAAGCTGGGCAGAGCAGAAGGAGTTGAGGTCTCCGCCAACGATTAGCAGGCTTTGAGTAGCCAAGGCCTGGTCTATTTGGGCGTCCAGAAACAGTTTAAGGTTGTGTTCCGCATCAATGTGTGCGGCGGAAGTGAAGCCAGGCAGGCAGGCTCCTACGGGCCCATACACCGCCAGGAACCGAATAGTTTCGCCATTTGCGGCGACTAGAGTAGCCGCAATGGCCCGGCCACACGAGTCAGTGGCAACGGTTTGCCAGCTACCAGCATAACCAGAACGCACGGCCAACAAAACACCAGCAGTGCTAGAGGGCGTAGAAGTGGAGTCCGGTCGACCGGGACTGACCACGGTGTAGCCTGCTGCGGCCATGCCATTCGCCGCCGATGCATGCTGGGCCGCTGTGGAGAGGGAAGTCTCGGAGAGCAACCCGACATCAGCTCCAAGACAGGAGAGGCCCTGAGCGTGCCAAAGACCCCATTGATACCGGTCCCGGCCAGTGCTACCGCATTGAAGGCACACGACCCGCAGTGACTTGGAGCCCTTCCAGCTCATGTCGTCACCGATGCAATCTCCGCTGAAATGGGGGAGGGACAGGCGGCGGCCTACATCCGTACGCAGTCTCGGCCCGCCGGGGCCAGGTAGAGCAACGGCGCCGTCAACGGTCGCATCGGATCCATCGCTGGAATCGCTAAGCAGGTCCATGGAGGAAAGCAGGGGGATCAGGATACAAGTAAAGAATGGGAAGCGGAGAGGGGACAAACCGGACGAGGGATATGAAAAGGGTGAAGTACGACAGTGACTACCACCAAAAGCCTGAGACAATCAAATGACATGTTTTGAGCCAGAGACAACTAGCGGGCATGGCGCAGAAAGGCATGTCGGCAACAGCGTGGATGGCCATCTTCAAAACAGCAATGTGCCAGCTGGACCCTAGGACGAAGGCTCTAGGAACAGCTGCTCTGTGTACTTTTTTGACCCGGCGTGAGTCACGGGGCGTGGGAGAACTGAAGCACCATAGAACGTGTGGGCATTCGTGAACACCCTTTCTACAAAACGGCCTCGTTGCACTCAGGGCAGCGGTCGCCAGAGTGCGCAGTGCTGAGCCAGCGATCAAGACAGTCACTGTGCATGGCATGGAGACACCGCAGGCGCTGCAGGCGCTCTCCTTCCAAGAACTCCTGCCGGCAACAGATGCATTCCCGTCCCTCATCCAAGGGGCCGGCGGTAAAGGCGACCGTTTTGAGTACGGTTCTGCTCGAGGCCGGTCCGGCCAACACGGGTGAAGGGCCAGCACTGGCGGGGGCTTCGCTGGGGCCAGTGTGAGGGCTTGGCTGGCGGGGAGGAGACTCATCCTGCAAGGCAGCACGGCGCGGTGTGCGAGCCAGCGCCACTTTGAGGGTGCCGCATGGGGAAGCAAGTCGGATACGGCCTTTAGGGTCCAGGGCGTATCCTGTTGCAAGCTCCTGTAGAATGCGTGTGGCCAGCTCTGGCTCGCCGAAGGATAGGTGGGACAGGAAGAAAGCAGGGGTACGGGCACGACGCCTTACCACTGGTGCAAGAACCAGGCCAGACCCAAGTGCCGCCAGGGAAGGAGACAGGCTGCAGACGAATGAGTGCACAGTTTGCAGCAGAGAAGCCGAGGGGCTGAAAGGCAGTCCCTGAATGAACAGACCAGCTGGCAGCTCCACGGTGGGAGCCAACGTGAGGGGAGCACAAGCCACAGCACCATCACGCTTGCGGTCCCGTGATGGAACACCAGTTCGAGCACGAGCAGGCTGCCGGGCGTCGCCACGATGCTGACGCGAAGGGGCCGTTTGCGATTGTTGGCGTGGTAGCCCTGTAGGCTGGGTGGGGGAACCAGAGCTCAACGTGTGTCGTGACCCAAGGATGGTGCCTGCACGTGGGTTTGAGGTCTGTCCGAATGGAAACTGGGGGGGGGCGCTGGCACGAAAGGGGGCGGCACAGTCCCAGACTGTGACGAGGGATGCGGCAGGGCAGAAGCAGGAAAGGTGGGCCGCTTGGTTGGGCCTGGACGGGGGGCTGCCTTACTTTTAGGTGACAGT